AGCTGTAGGGCGGGGCCGCATCAGCGGCAGGTCGGGGCCGTGGCAGCTGCAGGGCGGGGCCGCATCAGCGGCAGGTCGGGGCCGAGGCAGAGGGCCGCGCGCGGCTCGGCGCGGGCTGCGCTGACAGCGCGCTGGGCTGCTGCAGGCCGCGCGCGGCCGCGCTAGGCAGTAGCGGGCCGCGCGCGGCTCGGCGCGGGCTGCTGCGGGCCGCGCGAGGCAGTAGCAGGCCGCGCGCGGCTCGGCGCGGGCTGCTGCGGGCCGCGCGCGGGCCGACGCGGGCCGACGCGGGCTGCGTGGGGTCGGCGCGGGCTGCGCGCGGCTGCAGCGGGCTGTGCGCGGCTCGGTGCGGGCTGCGCGCGGCTGCAGCGGGCTGCTTGCGGCTCGGTGCGGGCTGCGCGGGCTCGGTGCGGGCAGCGCGCGGCAGCAGCGGGCTGCGCGCGGCTCGGTGCGGGCAGCGCGCGGCAGCAAGGGGCCTAACGGTCTGCAGGGGCTGTTCGCGGGCCTGAAGGGCGTGTAGGGGCGGCGCGCGGGCCTTACGGGCCTCTAGGGGCAGCGCGCTGGCCTAGGGCAGCAGGAGGCAGCGCTAGGGCTGCTGGACGGCGCGCGTAGTGCAGCACGTCACAAGGCAAGGCAAGGCAGGCAGGTACGTGGGGTAGCGCGGTAACCGCAGCGGTAGGTGGGCCCGAAAAAAAAAACGGTCCTACGGACCTTAGTGCTCTGAAACCATGTTAGAATCTAGCAGCAGGAATGAATGAACTAGCAGGAAGATGGGTACAAGTAGGAAACCCTAATTTGGGTTGTACCCCATATGGGCTACCCCACTACAGCCTACACAATAAGCAGCATATATGTTTGACAGAGCGGAGGATGGCAGGTGAGGAGAGGAGGAAGGCAGGTGAGGAGAGGAGGATGGCAGGTGAGGAGAGGAGGGAGTAGGAGTAAGCACCATTCGTGTACAACTGAAAATTCTTCAATCTCATCGTCTGCATTGTGTCACAAGTTCCACGGTTTACTAGAGCTGTCAACAAAATAATACCGTGAACATATTTTGAGCGAAATCGCCTTGTCCTCTTCTCTCCTTCTGTAAGACCTCTTGCCTCTTGTTCCCTTCGCACACAGGGGTCTCGCCTTCGTGCCTCTTTGAACACTTCAACACTCCTCTGAACATCCCACCTTGCCCTTCCCCTGCCTTTCTCTTCAGTGATTTGGGCGACGCTATTGCATGGGCATGGGCATCTGAGCTTGAGCTACTTCTCCCTTATTCCAATGGTGCCATGCGCCACTTTGCAAGGAACCACGGAGGCCTTTTTGAGAGTGTAGCGGGGAAACAGTACTGTGTACAGTCTTCATTAAAGAGAGCTCAACGCTTGAGCTTCTTTTCTGTGCTGATGAATTTGTCTGGTGTGTCCCCGCTTGTTTCCGCTAGTGATGTGAAGAACTTGAGGGTGATGGTCACGGGTTGTTGTGAAGAGGGTTCCGCAGGCTTGATACCAGTATGATACGGCCTGAACACCGTGGCATATTGCTGTACATAATTTTCTTTACCATTCCAGTACAGTGTGTTAATAGTTTGAAAATCTGTACCATTTCTTCGAGGTGCGTCCATTTTTTCTTAAAGCTGCGGTCTACGTACTTTAAGTGGGAGGCAAAGGTTTATCACTTGGAAACAGGGTAACCTCTCCTCCACAAGTACCCCTCTGTGGAGAAACGAACAATCGTGGCGGAAGGTTTCGGGAGGGGGGTGGGGGTTCCCAAACCAACAGCGGGAACGATTTCACGAGGTTAGAACTTGATCCACTTCGCGGGTGAGTTTGTATACCAAAAATCTAGCGACCATGAGGACCCAACCTCAGAGACAACTTTCCTGACGAAATTGTTTGTCATCACCAGCGGTGTTTGAATTCATCGCACCGGTGTTCGAGGAAGAAGCTCAATTCGCTCTCGAAAAATATTGAACCAAACAAAGGGTGTGCACTTATATTATTCCCAGAAAATCACTTTTAGAATGTTGACCGCAGCTTAATGCATGCAACATGAACATACGGTATGGTACCACTTAATTCATATTTTACTCAACAGTCCATATTGTAAACTCATAATTGTCTAGAACCCTTTGGAGCAGCTGCTTTCAAGCCTCCGCGGGATAACGCAGCATCCCAAAAGCAGGATGTTCTTACTCATCAAAAACTGGTTCTGATTTGAATCCTCGTGTCAGATTTCGTCGTGCCGTGCAAATCCCGAGGAGAGCCTACCGCCTGCCCTAGAGAAAAAGAGTCATAGGTCACGAAATTCGTAGCGATTGTCATGGCGGTCGATGTGTCCGCTCAAATAGTCGACGACTTCCCTCCTCTCGGCTCTGTGACGCTCGAGGAGCAGGTGAACCTGGGGATTTTGTCTGATTCCTACTGTTGATGTCGAATTTTACTTTCTCTTACCGCTATTTTCGCTCGCCACGGACATACAATGCTGAGTTTACAACGAATCGTCTGATTCTCGTTAACGAATTGTTCGTGCCGAGTCGCGTAAACTTACTCATATCAGGAATGCGTGGTTAGAATCTGGAGGATACACAAGCGAAACGGGTTTTCAAAAGGACGCCAGGCCTGTACTCGTTTGTAGCACCAGTTACTCGGTGACGGAAAACTTGTCACGATTATCTAGAACTCTCGCTTAGTGAAAGCGTTACTGACTTCCGAAGCCAGCATGATTACTGGCAGCAGCATTGCTGGTGGTTCTGATGCCTCTGAATGCCTTATCCTCGTCTCTCGTCCCATTCTTTCCCCATTCTTCCCCCGCTCTCCCCCCATCTCCCCGTCAGGAGACTACAGCATGTGTGGCGGTTCTGGCGACGCGAAAGGCCTTCCCCTGATCCGTCTTCTTTTCTTCCAGACAAGCATATCCCACCCGCGCACTCATCCCTTTCCCCCGTTCCCCAAACCCCCCTCCTCAGGAGACAGCAGCATGTGTGGCGGTGCTGGCGGCGCTGAGGGGCTTCCCCTCGTCGATGGTGGCAGTGAGTCTGGCGAACGAGAGGGGCGTGTGGCGGGCGCGTGCCAGCCTCGTGGCAGAGCCACCTCACCAACCGGCCTACAACGTCCAGGTTTGTGTGCCCTTTCTTTGACGGAGGGGTTTGTGAACCCTGGTTTTCGTTCTGCTTGAGAGTGCCCTCCTTCTACCTCCTTCGCTCTGCTTGAGAGTGCCCTCCTTCTACCTCCGCTCTGCTTGAGAGTGCCCTCCTTCTACCTCCTTCGCTCTGCTTGAGAGTGCCCTCCTTCTACCTCCTTCGCTCTGCTTGAGAGTGCCCTCCTTCTACCTCCTTCGCTCTGCTTGAGAGTGCCCTCCTTCTACCTCCTTCGCTCTGCTTGAGAGTGCCCTCCTTCTACCTCCTTCGCTCTGCTTGAGAGTGCCCTCCTTCTACCTCCTTCGCTCTGCTTGAGAGTGCCCTCCTTCTACCTCCTTCGCTCCGTCTCTGAGAGTGCAGAGTATTATTCGCGTTTGTGCTCTCCTTCTACCTCCCTTCCTCCCTCCTTCCTCCTTTCCCTCCATTCCTTCCCTCCCTCCTCCCTCCTTCCATACTTCCTGCTTTCTCCCCCTTCCTTCCCTCGCTCCCTATCTCCCTGCCTCCTTCCCCCCCCTTTCCTGCCCTGCTTCCGCCAGGCGGAAGCAGCTACACTGCTGCCTTTGATCGCTGACACTGCTCTCCTGCGCCACTTCACAGAGCGCCACGAGTCATCTTGCGCCCGTGCCGGCATTCTCTGCACGTCGCTGCTAGAGCCGCCTGGGCTGCCTTTAGAGCAGCAGCACACGAGCCAGTGCCTTCAAGCACTCGCCCAGGCCATCCGCGTGTTCCTTGATGTGAGTTTTGTAAGTCCGTTTGCGATACGAGCCGTGAGCTTTGGGATGGATACACCCACAGGCGCCCCCTGCCCTGTCTCTCACCAGAGCAGCAGCACACGAGCCAGTGCGTGCAGGTCCTCGCCCAGGCCATCCGCGTGTTCCTTGATGTGAGCCCATCGTTTGTCAGTGTCAAGCCGTTTTCATGCTCTTTTGCTGCCATGTAGCTATGCAGTCATGCTGCCATGCTGCCATGCTGCCATGCTTGTGTGCAAGCAGGAGAGCCAAGTCGCACTGACCACCCTCAGCTTTCGTTGCACGCATCTATGCTTTCCAATTATGCGAACTATGCTACCACATCCCACAGCATTCCACCACATGATGCTACCCTGTGCGACTGCACACCACCCCTCCCCTGTGCCTGGCAGAACACAGCCATGCTGTTGTGCAAGCTGGAGAGCCAGTGTGAGAGCCACGGGATGAGACTGTTGGAGCTCAAGCGGTGCATTCAGGTATGGAGTGGTGCACTTGGTATACAATGATGCAGTTGGTATAAATGATGCAGTTGATATACAATGATGCATTGGTATACAATGATGCAGTTGGTATACAATGATGTACTTGGTATATAGTGGTGGAGTCAGGTAGATAGATTTTTCAGTTATGAACTATGATACTTTTTCTTCGCAATTGTTAATCTTGTTCACTGTTCACCAACGAGAAGTGCATGGTGCATTGTCAATTTGGTTCACTGTTCACTCTTCCCTTTCTTGGCAAAGCAGCCGTTAGTGTATCAGAGTGAGGGGGGGCAACAAGTGGGCATTGCATGTGCCTGGATCGTACCACTCACCCTTTCCACGCATTGCAGCATGCAAATCCCCCAACGCCGCTCTGTGTGCTGCCATGTAGCCCATAGCAGCCAGAGTGAAGGCCACCAAGTATGTGTGTGCCTGGATGTTACCAATCTCTCACTCCATGCATTGCTGCTTGATCCCCAACCCCACTCCCTTCCCAAATGTCCCTCTGTGTTCTGCCCCACAGCCCGTAGCGGACGGAGTGAGGGTGCTGACGCCCATCGTGAGAGGGGTTGAGAATTTCTGAGTTGACTTGCAAATCAATGCTTCATGACCCCAAAACTCCCCTCTGTGTGTCGCTGTGCCCCACAGCCCGTAGCGGACGGAGTTAGGGTGCTCACACCCATGGTGAGAGGGGTGGAGGACGAAGGATGGGGATCCACAGAGGTTCTCGACGTGCTGCATGCAACGGTAGGCAGAGAGGGGTATGCAGCGGTATGCAACGGTATGCAATGGTATGCAGCGGTTTGCAATGATATTCAGTGGTATGCAATGATCTACAGCAGTATGCAATGGTTCACAGCGGTATGAAACTATTTACAGCGGTATGCGATGGTTGCATCGGTATGCAATGATATATACAGCTGTATACATTGGTATGGAGCAGTATGCAGTGGTTGCAGGGCTATACGCTTGGCGTGGTGCATCCGAAGGTATGATGAAGAGAGTGGTATGCAGCGGTATGCAGTGTATGCAGTGGTACATACACAGTGGTATGCAGAGAGTGCTTCACAGACACACTGACTGACTCGTGCTTCAGAGAGTGGTATACAGAGAGTGGTATACAGAGAGTGGTATACAGAGAGTGGTAAGTAAAGAATTCCCCTCGTTCTCTCCCTCCTCGTTCTCTCCTCTCCCAATCCATCCACCCATTCCCTCCCATCCCACATCTAACCCCTGTCCGACTTCCTTCCCTTCCACCCGCTTCCCTTCCTGCCCAGTCCACCCGACCAGATGTGAGGGAGGCGGAGGGTCTCATTTGCTTTCTGCTGCACGCTACATGCGCCCCCTATCTTCACCTCCTCTCCTCATATGTTGTGTTGTGGCACCGTTCCACTCCACCCACTCTTCCCTTCCCGTCCCTCCCAGTCTACCCGACCAGATGTGAGGGAGGCAGAGGGTCTTATTCGCTTTGTGCTGCAAGCTACATGCGCCCCCTACCTTCACCTCCTCTCCTCGTATGTGTCACCTCTGCACCTCCTTTTACCCCATTGTGTTGTGGTTTTCTTACCTCACCTCACATGCACCCCCTTCCATGTTCGTTGCAGCCTCCTTTCCTTCATCTCTCACGTTCGCCAATCTTTAACTCCTCGTCCAATTTTAGGTTCTAAGTTATCTCTCTGTTTCCCAGTTCTGTAGAATCACATCCTCTCTCTTTACATCTCCTCTCTTCATCATACGTTACTCACATCACATGCGCATCCTTCTTCATCTCATTTCTTCTTGAGCGTTCAAGTTTCATGTTCTATTTGTATCATGCCTGACCTGACTCCGACCTCACCCGATCTTATCGGACCTGACCGAACCTTATCCGACCCATCCCATCCCGGCCTGACCTGACCCAACCCAGCCCGGCCCGGCCTGACCTAAGCTGACCTGTCTGTTCTGTACTATCCCACCCTCTCATACATTGAGCTCCTAACCCTGATATCACCACAGCTGCTGTTAGTTTCATTCTTGGCCCCGCCCTCCTCCCTACGCCACCCCTCCACTTCCCCCCCCCCCCCCCCCCCCCCCCCCCCCCAAGGTGGATGCAGGAGGGCAGGCTGGACAACGACGTTCACGGCGAGTTCTTCATTTCCGTATGCACCACTGCTACAGCCGCTACATCCGCCCCAGCCGCTACAGCTACTACTGCTGCTACACAACCTCCTCCCCCCCTCCTTTCTTTCCACCCGCCCCCACACAGGTGGATGCAGGAGGGCAGGCTAGACGACGACATTCACAGCGAGTTCTTCATTTCCGCATGCACCACTGCTGCCGCAGATGCACACACAGCTACCACTGATGCTCATGCTCAACCCACCAATTCCACCACGCCTGCCACGGGGCAAGGGGAATGGCGGGGTGCAGAGGGGTGGGAAGGGGCGAAAGTGGAAGGGCAGCGGTTTGTAGTGCGGTGTGATGCGGTGCCGGTGCTGTTCCGGTCGGTGGCTGACGATGTGCTGGCCACAGGGCAGTTGGTGCATGCGCTGAGGGAGCATGGGTACTTGAAGCAGGTGGGTTGGGTGGGGTATCGGCGGTGCTAGAAGGAAATAGGTGGTGTGTGTGCATGGGGCGTGTGCATGGGGCGTGTGCATGGGGCGTGTGCATGGGGCGTGTGCATGGGGCGCGTGCATGGGGCGCGTGCATGGGGCGCGTGCATGGGGCGCGTGCATGGGGCGCGTGCATGGGGCGCGTGCATGGGGCGCGTGCATGGGGCGCGTGCATGGGGCGCGTGCATGGGGCGCGTGCATGGGGCGCGTGCATGGGGCGCGTGCATGGGGCGCGTGCATGGGGCGCGTGCATGGGGCGCGTGCATGGGGCGCGTGCATGGGGCGCGTGCATGGGGCGCGTGCATGGGGCGCGTGCATGGGGCGCGTGCATGGGGCGCGTGCATGGGGCGCGTGCATGGGGCGCGTGCATGGGGCGCGTGCATGGGGCGCGTGCATGGGGCGCGTGCATGGGGCGCGTGCATGGGGCGCGTGCATGGGGCGCGTGCATGGGGCGCGTGCATGGGGCGCGTGCATGGGGCGCGTGCATGGGGCGCGTGCATGGGGCGCGTGCATGGGGCGCGTGCATGGGGCGCGTGCATGGGGCGCGTGCATGGGGCGCGTGCATGGGGCGCGTGCATGGGGCGCGTGCATGGGGCGCGTGCATGGGGCGCGTGCATGGGGCGCGTGCATGGGGCGCGTGCATGGGGCGCGTGCATGGGGCGCGTGCATGGGGCGCGTGCATGGGGCGCGTGCATGGGGCGTGTGCATGGGGCGTGTGCATGGGGCGTGTGCATGGTGTGTGTGTGTGTGTGTGTGTGTGTGTGTGTGTGTGTGTGTGTGTGTGTGTGTGTGTGTGTGTGTGTGTGTGTGTGTGTGTGTGTGTGTGTGTGTGTGTGTGTGTTGAGTCGACTCAGAAGTCAGCTCGGTGTGTGTGCATGGGGTGTGTGAGTGGGTGTGTTTCTGATGATTTGCTGTCTACGGGGCAGTTGGTGCATGCGCTGAGGGAGCATGGGTACTTGAAGCAGGTGGGTGGGTTGGGTAGATTTGGTGAGGACCATGATGAGGTGGGGCAATAGGAGGAATTAGATGTGTTCCTGGGTGTGTGTGCTGATAGTGCTGCTGTGCTGGCCACAGCCCATGGGGCAGCTGGTGCATGCTCTCAGGCAGCATGGGTACTTGAAGCAGGTGGGTGGGTGGGTGGATAATGGCTTGAGGTCGGGTGAGATGGGAATCAGGAGCTCGTATGGGTTGTGTGAGACTCATGATGTGCTGGTCACGGGGCAGTTGGTTGGTACTTGCCCTCAGGCAGCATGGATGCTTGAAGCAGGTGCACTTGCACATGCGCACATGCATGGCGCATGCAGTGCAATGAAAAGTGCATGGTGCACTTTTGAGGCGCCTCAAAATGGGTGCTTGAAGCAGGTGCACATGCGCACATGGTGCACATGGTGCATGCAGTGCAATGAAATAGATTCATTCGCGCATTCTACTCCGTCCTCCCTCACACCAGCTGATTCCATCAAGAGGGAAGGGCGGAGAAGCCACAGACTTAGCTGGGCAGCTTAGAGGAGAGCGTGTCTTTGTTGACTCAAAGGTTCCCTACCTTCCTCCTATCTATTTTCTCACACCGCAGCTGATCCCATCAGAGGGAGAGGTGGAACAGCCACGGATGCAGCTGGGTAGTCTAGAGGAGAGCGTGGGTGCACGCACACAGGCAGTGCAGCGGACGATGCTAGACCTCACGTTGAACAAGGTAGGTAGGGTAGTGGTGCATGAGGTGGTGCTTCAAGGAAGGTAGGGTAGTGCTGTATGAGGCATGAGGAAGGTAGGGGGCAGGAGGAGTGGAGAGCGTGGGTGCACGCACACAGGCAGTGCAGCGGACGATGCTAGACCTCACGTTGAACAAGGTAGGGCAGTGTTGAGATGCTGCTGCAAGGAATAGGGTGCGCACTGAACAAGGTAGGGCAGTGTTGAGATGCTGCTGCAAGGAATAGGGTGCGCACTGAACAAGGTAGGGCAGTGTTGAGGTGCTGCTGCAAGGAATAGGGTGCGCACTGAACAAGGTTTGCCTCCATACCTCCATGCCTTCATGCCTCTATGCCTGCATGTCTCCATGTCTCCACGTCTCCATGTCTCCATGCCTCCATGCCTGCATGCACAAGCATCACCTGAAGTATCCATTGTCATCACGAAGTGTGCACGCATCTGCCTCTGAGTGAGCACGGGTGGGGAAGGGTTGGCCCTGCTGCAATACTTCTACCCTTCTATAACAGTATCCGCCATCCTTCGTCTTTCCGTCACCCCCGTTCCCCCGGTCCCCATATACGCCCGGTTTTCCTGTCTGCAAAGCAGAGCCACCTGCTCGGGCATCTGCTCACCATCAGACGAGTGCTGCTGCTTTCCCAGGTACACCTTGTTCCCGGTAGAACTGGCAAGCCAATCACTTCCTCCAGTCGCTCATCCATCCACCCATCTGTGCAAAGCAGAGCCACCTGCTCGGGCATCTGCTCACCATCAGACGAGTGCTGCTGCTTTCCCAGGTACACCTTGTTCCCGGTAGAACTGGCAAGCCAATCACTTCCTCCAGTCGCTCATCCATCCACCCATCTGTGCAAAGCAGAGCCACCTGCTCGGGCATCTGCTCACCATCAGACGAGTGCTGTTGCTCTCCCAGGTACACCTCGTTCTCGTTCAGCCAGCTTAATATATATATATTTACATATATATATATATAAATATATATATATTCTACTCCATTTTTTAGGCGCCTTAAAAATGGTCTCGTTCAGCCAGCTTAATATATATATATTTACATATATATATATGTTCTACTCCATTTTTTAGGCGCCTTAAAAATGGTCTCGTTCAGCCAGCTTAAAAAGAAATATACATATATTCGACTCCATCAACAATTCCATCCATCTGGCCATCCGTCTCCCTCTTTCCCCTCACCTCTGCAAGCCAGCCGTGTTTATTATGTGTTCATTCTTGCCATGTCCGTCCTGACTCCCCTCAACCCCACGCTCACCCTCACTCTCACCCACCCTCACACCCCACCCCTCCCTCCCGCCACACAACAGGCGGATTTTTATCGGATTTCATGACTCTGGCAGGCGAGGTGACTTTTGAGTCGACTCAAACGTCACTTCTTTTGAGCCGGATCAAAAGTCACCTCTTTTGAGTCGACTCAAACGTCACCTCTTCTGAGTCAGCTCAAACGTCACCTCTTTTGAGCCGGATCAAAAGTCACCTTTTTATCGGATTTCATGGCGCTGGCAGCCGAGGAGAGGGGAGCGGATAGTCACTCAGTAAGGCACGTCCCCTTTTCTGTCCCCTTTTCACCCTCAACTGCCCCCTTCTCTCCAGGCGGATTTCCTGTCGGACTTCATGGCGCTGGCAGGCGAGGAGCTCTGCAAGCCAGCCGTGCTTATCATGTGTACGAGAATCATCTAGTCCTTCCTGTCCCCCTTTCACTCTCAACTACCTCCCCCCCTCCCCCCTCTTTCAGGCGGATTTCCTATCGGACTTCATGGCGTTGGCAAGCGAGGAGCTCGGCAAGCCAGCGAGCAGGGCGTCTCAGGCTCGCATTGATGTATGTGAGGGTGTGTGAAGCATGCTGTACATGGCATGAAGCATTGATGTATGTGAGGGTGTGTGAAGCATGCTGTACATGGCATGCAGCATTGATGTATGTGAGGGTGTGTGAAGCATGCTGTACGTGGCGTGCAGCATTGATGTATGTGAGGGTGTGTGAAGCATGCTGTACATGGCATGCAGCATTGATGTATGTGAGGGTGTGTGAAGCATGCTGTACGTGGCATGCAGAATTGATGTATGTGAGGGTGTGTGAAGCATGCTGTACATGGCATGCAGCATTGATGTATGTGAGGGTGTGTGAAGCATGCTGTACATGGCATGCAGCATTGATGTGCGGGTGTAGCTAGTGTGAAGCATGTTGTATCATCCATCATGCACCATATATGCACCATTCACCACGCCCCATGCCCCATGCCCCATGCCCCATGCACCATGTATGTTGTACCATATATAGTGAGGATTTCCAAGGTGCGACAACGTAAAGGAATTTCCATAGTCCCACTGTGTCACCCCAACTTTGATGTCATTGTACAAGACAAGATACTTGGCTCGTTGCAACATCCATTTGTTCTTCTCCCCTTTCATCCCCACCCTTGCTTCCTTCTCCATCTCTCACTAGGCGTCTCTCCGCACTCCGCCACTGCAGACTCTGACCCCAACTGCAGCTTCACGCTCTCACTGGCTACCACATGACTTTTGAGTTGACTTTTGAGTCGACTCAAAAGTCCGCCACTGCAGCCTCTGACCAAGGGTGACCCCAACTGCAACTTCACACTCTCACTGGCTACCACATGCACCTGACCCCTTGTTTGCATCATCCAGTTTCCCTTTTAACTTTGGTTTCTACCCCGATCCCTCCTCCCTACCTCTCCAGCTCTCTCTAGGTGCCTCTCTCCGCTCCTCTACAGCAGCTTTTGATCCCAACTGCGACCGCCTCTCTGCACGCCTGGTGAGCACGGGTGGACGAATGAATGTAGAGTATGGATGGATATACACATGTGCGCAGGTGAGCGTGTGAGGGCGTGTGTGTGTGAGTTAGTTACATCTTGAAAAATGTATTGTAAGAGCGCATGGATGGATCAATACTTGCTTGTGCACGCATGCATGCACAGAAGAGAAGAAGCCCTTTCCTTCCCCATCTGGGCCATCCCTCTCCTTCCTTCCCCAGTGTTCTTCCTGTGCCACTACACATCCAGATCACATCTCCTATACCTGCCTTGGCCACCTTACATACCTTTTTATTGGCCGCGAAATTCGTCCCTTCACCTGCGATTTGAGAACCGTTCATGCTATTGAACTCCATTCATCAACAAGACACCGTTGAACTCCATCCATCAATCCACCTCGCCTCACGTACCGATTCCCACTCACCCTTCATTCATGTCCCCTAACGTCTCCCCATCTTGCCCCGTTTAGGTCCCTGTCGATATACTCAGTCCCTCCAACTCATCGCTTCAACAGCAGCCCCTACAGTCACAACCTCTACAATCACAATCGCCACACCTCCTTACCCATTCCCACTCACCCTTCATTCATATCCCCCAATGTCTCCCCATCTTATTCCAATCAATCAGGTCCCTGCTGATCCTCCCAGTCCCTCCAACTCATCGCTTCAACAACCACCCCTGCAACCTTTACAATCACAATCGCCACCTGTACAGCGCGCACCAGACCCACCACAGTCACATCTGCAGCAGTCACATCTGCAGCAGTCACAACTGCAGCAGTCACATCTGCAGCAGTCACATCTGCAGCAGTCACATCTGCAGCAGTCGCGGGAGAGCATGGACGGTGCAGATCTACTGAGCAGCCTGCAGGCCTACGATCAATACGAGGACCTGCTGGGAGATGATGCAGATGGTGACGCTGACGGTGGTGCTGCTGCTGGCGGTGGTGGCAGTGGTGGTGGTGGTGGTGGTGGTGGTGGTGGTGGCGGTGGTGGTGGTGGCAGTGGTGGTGGTGGTGGTGGTGGTGGTGGTGGTGGCGGTGGTGGTGGTGGCAGTGGTGGTGGTGGTGGTGGTGGTGGTGGTGGCAGTGGTGGTGGTGGTGGTGGTGGTGGTGGTGGTGGCGGTGGTGGTGGTGGCAGTGGTGGTGGTGGTGGTGGTGGTGGCGGTGGTGGTGGTGGTGGTGGTGGTGGCGGTGGTGGTGGTGGTGGTGGTGGTGGCGGTGGTGGTGGTGGTGGTGGTGGCGGTGGTGGTGGTGGCAGTGGTGGTGGTGGTGGTGGTGGTGGTGGTGGTGGCGGTGGTGGTGGTGGTGGTGGTGGTGGTGGTGGCGGTGGTGGTGGTGGCAGTGGTGGTGGTGGTGGTGGTGGTGGTGGTGGTGGCGGTGGTGGTGGTGGTGGTGGTGGTGGCGGTGGTGGTGGTGGTGGTGGTGGTGGCGGTGGTGGTGGTGGTGGTGGTGGTGGCGGTGGTGGTGGTGGTGGTGGCAGTGGTGGTGGTGGTGGTGGTGGTGGCAGTGGTGGTGGTGGTGGTGGCAGTGGTGGCGGTGGTGGTGGTGGCAGTGGTGGCGGTGGTGGTGGTGGCAGTGGTGGCGGTGGTGGTGGTGGCAGTGGTGGCGGTGGTGGTGGTGGCAGTGGTGGTGGTGGTGGTGGTGGTGGTGGTGGTGGCGGTGGTGGTGGTGGTGGTGGTGGTGGTGGTGGCGGTGGTGGTGGTGGTGGTGGTGGTGGTGGTGGCGGTGGTGGTGGTGGCAGTGGTGGTGGTGGTGGTGGTGGTGGTGGTGGTGGCGGTGGTGGTGGTGGCAGTGGTGGTGGTGGTGGTGGTGGTGGCGGTGGTGGTGGTGGTGGTGGTGGTGGCGGTGGTGGTGGTGGTGGTGGTGGTGGCGGTGGTGGTGGTGGTGGTGGTGGCGGTGGTGGTGGTGGCAGTGGTGGCGGTGGTGGTGGTGGCAGTGGTGGCGGTGGTGGTGGTGGCAGTGGTGGCGGTGGTGGTGGTGGCAGTGGTGGCGGTGGTGGTGGTGGCAGTGGTGGTGGTGGTGGTGGTGGTGGTGGTGGCGGTGGTGGTGGTGGCAGTGGTGGTGGTGGTGGTGGTGGTGGTGGTGGTGGCGGTGGTGGTGGTGGCAGTGGTGGTGGTGGTGGTGGTGGTGGTGGTGGTGGCGGTGGTGGTGGTGGCAGTGGTGGCGGTGGTGGTGGTGGTGGCAGTGGTGGCGGTGGTGGTGGTGGTGGCAGTGGTGGCGGTGGTGGTGGTGGTGGCAGTGGTGGCGGTGGTGGTGGTGGCAGTGGTGGCGGTGGTGGTGGTGGCAGTGGTGGTGGTGGTGGTGGTGGTGGTGGTGGTGGCGGTGGTGGTGGTGGCAGTGGTGGTGGTGGTGGTGGTGGTGGTGGTGGTGGCGGTGGTGGTGGTGGCAGTGGTGGCGGTGGTGGCAGTGGTGGCGGTGGTGGTGGTGGTGGCAGTGGTGGCGGTGGTGGCGGTGGTGGTGGTGGTGGCAGTGGTGGCGGTGGTGGTGGTGGCAGTGGTGGCGGTGGTGGTGGTGGCAGTGGTGCGGATGGGGATGGCAGGCAGCTCTACAGCAACCCTCTCTCGCTGCTACTCCAGGTCACTCCTGTTCGGCCAGTCAGCCTTGCAGCTGCAGCAGCAGCGCAGGCAGCAAGGGGGGAACAGGCCGAACGGAGGGGACCTTCAGGGGAGAGTGGATGGGAGGCTATCTATATCGACTACCAGGTGGGTCCCTTTTTCTTCCCTTTTCTGTTTTTAAGTCGACTCGAGAATTGCCCCATCACACGTGAATGGAAGATTGTTTATGTCGACTATCAGGTGGGCTCGGTTCGGCTTCCGGCTCGCCTCTATCCTCTACTACATGTTACGAGCTGCTCCGTTTTTTTCTATTCAGATGCTACAATTCTCCAGACCACCCACCTACCAGGTGGGCGCAGCTGTATCGATGGGTGTTGCCCCACCCTCCCTGCTCTCTTCACTCCCCTTCCCTTCCACTGTCATCACCTCTCACCTATTACCGGCCTATGTGTTTGTCTGTCCCCACTCCCTTCAGCCCCCCTGGCCAGTATCCACAGTGGTACCCCCATCCACCCTACAGGGTTACAGCTGCCTCTTCCGCTTCCTTCTCGTCTCACTCCCTTTCGACTCTCCTCACCCCACCTGTTACCCACTCCTCCTCCTGCGCCATTCTTCTTTCCCCACTCACTGCAGGCGCCCTGGCCAGTATCTGCGGTGGTACCCCCATCCGCCCTGCTGGCCTACAACCGTCTTTTCCGCTTCCTGCTTGCCGCCAAGCGCACCCACCTGCACCTCGCCCTCGCCTGGTCTGCGCTGCAGGTAGGGCCGTGGGGGATGGTGATGTGATGATGGGAATATCTGTCTGTAGGGCCGTGGGGGTTACCCACATGGTATGCAACAAGGCAAACCCACCTGCACCTCGCCCTTGCATGGTCTGCACTGCAGGTGGGGTCGTGGTGACCATGCGGTGAGGATGATGATGATGTGGGGAGTTACATGGTGCTGCTGTAGTGGGCATGGTGGGGATGATGACAACAAGGATGCGTATTGTGCTGCTGTTGCTGCTGCACCGCACCGCACATGTTTGAATGCTTGGGATGCTTGAATGAATAGAATCGTCAACCACCGATCTCCTGTCATTCTGTATCCATCCTTTCTCTCTGTGCTCTTCTCTCTTGCCTTCCCCGCTCCACCACACTTACCATGCTCCCATCTTGTCACACTCCCTCTCTCTCCTCTCACCCTCCACACTCACATTCCCAGCTGACCCGGGGATTGAAGATGGAAGGGACAATGCTGCAGCGCGTGCACTGGCTGCGGCATCGCATGGCATGTGCTGCCACTGCCATCCTCGACCATGTCGCACACGCGGTGAGTATGCATTTATGCATGGGTGCAGTGCATGGGTGCAGTGCATGGGTGCAGTGCATGGGTGCAGTGCATCACATGGCATGTGCTATCACTGCTATCCTCAACCATGTGGCATATGCTGTACGTGTGAAGGGGGGGTGGGGGTGAGGGGATGGGGAGGGGGGAAGGAAGGGCGTTTGTGGGTGTGCGTGTGTGCGTATGTGTGGGTATGTGCGGGTATGTGTGGGTATGTGTGTATGTGTGGGTATGTGTGGGTATGTGTGTATGTGTGGGTATGTGTGGGTATGTGTGGGTATGTGTGGGTATGTGTGGGTATGTGTGGGTATGTGTGGGTATGTGTGTATGTGTGGGTATGTGTGGGTATGTGTGTATGTGTGTGGCTCCTTCCATCCTTGCTCGGCATCACATGGAGTGTGCTGTCACTGCCTTCCTCGACCATGTGGCACATCCGGTAACACATGCGTGAGTGTGAGTGTGACTCTGTGTGCGCACGTGCGTGGATGCGTGCGTGCGTGCGCGTCTGTCTTTCCATCTTTCCCTTCTGTGGTTGACACGTGGCATTTGCCGTGTCTTGTCGGTTCCTCTGTCTTTTTGGTTTGACTATCAATTGGACTCTTTGAAACCACTTTCTCATGACCCGCGTTCTTCCTGCACCCATATGGTGTTCGGGGTTCACTTGTTTAGAACTCTCAAAAGGTTCCCTTATAAAAGCACATTATTCCATTCCTTGTCTCTCTCCTGTGTGCCCCTTCCCTTTCCCCCCTTATCATCTTCCCTTTCCCTTATTCCCATTGGTTCCCTTTCCCCCCTAAACCTCTTCCCGTGCCCACACCCTCTTCCTCCGAACCTCCCTCCCCTTGCTCGCAGCACCTTCAACTGATCAGCACTTGACTTTTGAGTCGACTCAAAAGTCCCCTCTGTTGCCCTCACCCCTCTCCTCCACTCAATGCCTGTTGTAGGTGATAAGCCCCAATTTCGACCTCATGACAACGAGATTGACCAAGGCTAACTCCTTCCACCAGGTGACTCACTTTCTTCCGCCCACCTCTGTCCTCCTTCCCTCGGTGGCTTTGTCACTCATGAGCACATGAGTGCATGAGCACAAGAGCACAAGAGCACATGAGTATAAGAGGACATATAAATGGTGAAAGCAGCTTGACAATTTTTCCTTCTGTTTTTTGCTGTCTGGCTGCCTGCATACAGCTTGTGCAGGAGCACCAATCATTTCTTGACACGTGTTTTTCAGAGGGGCTTCTGGATTCCTGCCCGCACATTCGAGAGGTGTGTACTGGCCACCCTCCCTACATGGTGATTGCGCTACTCTAAAGCTGAGAAACAGCGTGGGTCGTGGCGTGTACTGTCCTTGCTGTTTAACTCGTTCACGCTCACTAGGTGTGTGGCGCCTGCCTGCCTCCCTCTATCGTGATTTCGCTGCTCAAGTAGCATGCACTGCAGTGTGGTGAGTTCCTGCGCGTGCCATTCTCACTCAGGTGCTTTGGCAGTCTCATGACCTCTTTTTAAGGACTGTCTTTTCTTCATCACACAGTGTTGTCGCTAGGCCATTTTTTGCTGTGCATTCACTGGGTGGTGTGCCATCCCGCCATCCTACCATTGCTCCTTAGAATCACATAAGCAAGCTACCTTCGTTGTTCTGCCTGTCATTTTGTAATGGGCCTGGGCCAGGTTATCCTTTCCAGAAAGGCACAAGTCACAGTTCCTCCTCATGGAGAGATGTTTGCCCACACAATTGCCAATAAGTTCCCCCGGCTTTTCTCACCCCTTCTCCTTCCATCTCACCCACCTGCATGCAGAAACTATCTGCCCTCCTCTCCATCTCTCTTCGCTTCGCCACCACAGTCACCTCCACCATACACACAGCCTCCTCTCTCCCTGACCCTGATCCGTCATCTTCATCAGCAGCAGCAGCAGCAGGAGGATGGGGAGGAGGAAGGGGGGGTTATGGGGTGGAGGGTAGAACCAGTGGAGGCGAGCTGTCTGATTATGCGTACGGCGATGCCACGTCAGATGCCAAGGGACGGGCGGCGCGGGCGGCATTTCGTCGACAGTTAGCGGCGGAGGAGCTGCAGCGGGGCTTGGAGGAGGAGGGGTTTGTTGAAGAGATGAGGTGTGTGTGGGGAAAGGGGCTTGGGGGAGAAGGGGAAGGGGGATAAAGAGGGGGATTGAAAATAAAGGAAATTGGAAAGGGTTTGAAGGAGACATTGACTTTGCAATTAACGTATCCCTGCTTCTCTCCATCTTGTCTCCTGCTCTTACCATCTCCCCATCTCCCTGCTCTCCCCATTTCACCCTCTCCCCATCTCATTCACTCCCCATCCCACCATCCCACCAGATCCACGCACACGGCCTTTGCGGCCTCTCTCCGGGCCGCCACTGCTGCCATCGCATCTGCCCTCCTAGACCATCCTGTGCTGCTCTCCTTGCACCTCGCCCTCACAGCTGTTGCTAAAGGCCTTCCTTAGAACTTCTTTTGAGTCAGACTCAAACGAGTGCAACTGCTGCCATAGCATATGTTCCCAAGACCATCCTCTGCTGCTCTCCCTGCACTTCCCTTCTCCGGTGTTGCCAAAGGCCTTCCTTGGAAGTTCCCCTTTTTGTCGTTGGCAGCTGTGAAGCACGTGGGGATGTGACATGACACCATGACTAACCCAAAGGATGGTTTTGCCGCATGCGAGTATTGTGCTTGAATACCGGTAGTAGCAATATGCCTTGGTTATTAATGTGTAAAGAACCAATCCTGTATGTCTTCTTATATGTATCAATGGACTCTGAGACCCCATTAAGCATTAGAACTTCACAACTGCTTTTCTCAGAATGGTAGGCCTATTTCTTACCATGCTTTTGTTAAGCCTATTCATCGGTCCTCGTCCAGAACGCGTGCTTTTCATAATGAGTATATTTCGACGCGTTCAATTCAGCCGCCGCATCTGACGGAAACCGCGATCAAAAAATTCTTCGTGACGGGTTTCGCTTACTGGACAGGGCGAAAGAATGTAGATTAGGCTGTGCGAGCAGTCGCTCATTTCGTTTTTCTTCGCGAATTTCGCAACCCCCAAGATTCTTGGTGGCCCGACTCACCTAATAGACTAGTGACCCCAAGCAGTCGGGGCATCTTCACGCCTGCGGTCATCGCACACCAACGAAATCCTGCTGCGAGCATCCTGAGACTTAGTAAACTGAGCTGAAACACAGCGCTTAGCCGAAACTCCGTTTTTTTACTTTATGTCGACGATAACAGCGCGTTGGATATTGTCGATGCCCCCCCTGCTCGCCATTTCCACAGACTGTCCAGGGGAAGCGACGCGCTTCACTCGTTTTTCTGCCTTGACACGACTCTGTTTTCGGACTTGCCCTTGTTGCGGGGGTGTTATGTCGGCTTGGGACTGTTGGGTACAATCTCCTCCCACGGAAGCGCGCGAAAATTGCATGCGAGTAACCTGGGATGAAAGGGCCGCTGAAAACGAATATTGCTTGACTTGTAACTGATTGACCCTCACAAGGCCCTCGCGAATCGCGTTTCTAGCTCAGATCTCCATAGCCGACCGCGGAACCTACTCGTTCATTCGTCCTAGGAGAAGGAATCGCGATCCATATCCAATGGCATTCCCCAAGCCCTGGCGCAAACGCCTCTCCGATTCGGCCCCAGTTTATCCGCCATGCACTGCCCTCGCCCTTCGGATTCGTATTAAACCGCCCTCTTCGTCGCTGGTAAAGCACGACTTCAATCCTCCGCTCTCCAAGGTCAAATTTCACTAGATAACTACAGCCACCACGACTGCTACTCGTAGCACCTCTTTTCCTGATAATGGCGCGTCTCACTGGAATTACGGCCCTCTATCTCCTGCTAGCCGTTGCCCTCGTTCTCTCAACATATGCCTCGACCGCGGTTGCAGTGGATAGCAAGACTAGCGACGGTGAGTCCCCCCCTCCACCCTCCCCTCATTATAAATTCGCTTTCTGTTCTCTTTGTCTTTCCCCTCATCATATCATGCCCTCCTGGTCTCTTTGTCTTGACGGCGCTCGTCGTTCGTTGCTTCTGAATCCCCGACTTCTGTCATCTTTTCGAGTGGCGCGCAGGAAAATATTACTGCGCTGAAGTGAATGGTTGGAGTGCGGATTATTGCGATAAAGCTTGGGCTGCGATTGGGAGGTGCGCCACGATGCGTAATAACTACAAGAAAGAGTGCGAACCAAGTAAGTTCCCACGGGTGAAGACATGGTCTTGCCACACTGCTTGCATCAGATCATATCAAACTGAATCATCAGATTCTGTTAATTTTTTGGCTATCACGTTTGGATTCAAACCTTATGAATTCCCGTTTTTCGCCCTCATCACATTCTTCTTACGGCCATCCCATCGCATCACAAACAGTGTTTACTAACCCACTCCATTTCGTCACATCCTAAATGCCATTTCGTCACATCCTGCATGACCCTCACTATGTCATGTTGCAATACTAAGGCAATGTTTGTTCCCTTCCCAGTGGGCAGTGCATTCCTTGGCCTCTGGAGGTGTATCTATTGGGGAAGGTGTTGATCCCCACACCACTTCGATTGTGACTCTTCCGTTGCGTGTGGTAGTTCGTGCACGTATGTGGGTGGCGACTCGTGTGAGCGGTTGACATAAAAATTATTGTATTCATCATCCTTTGCTTACATTGCAGTTGTAGTGCTCCTTGTGTACTATTGTTGCATGATTATGACATGAGATTATTGTGACTACATAGGCACATCATGCGTGGAACAAGTATCACCTCATGCACTCCGCCTTCTCACATGTGCCTGAGCACACGGCTTTTGAGACGTCTCCAAAGTCAAGTATCACCTCATGCACTCCGCCTTCACACAGCAAACACCTGACCCGACGCAGCTACCTGACCAGGCACAGCAACCGGAGGAGACTCGGTAGTGAGGGTGTACAGGCTCGACCCCGGCCGACGGGTAAACGTGGCCAAGTGTCGGCCCGTGTCCGCACACGTACAGTGGGTCACCCGCTGACGCGCAGGGGTGAACTGGTCAACCCCCCCATCCTGTAGGTCAGCACCCGCCACCAAGTTCGTAGAGAACGAGGGGAGGTAAAGACCCGACAGGGAGCCAGACGGGACCGCCGGACACGGTAGTACAGTGGAGTAGTGAGCAAGGACAGGACCCCCAGAGGGGTCTGCCAGGGAGACCGCAACCGGCCGACTGAGCGGCGTGAGAGTGGTGCGGTCTCGAAAGAAGGAGCGGGAAGCACCCGAGTCAAGGGTGAAAGTGTGCGACGCCGGAGCAGACGTGGTACCTGAGAGAGCAGACTCACCAGCACCTGGAGTAGCAGACTCACCAGCACCTGGAGCAGCAGACTCACTAGCACCTGGAGCAACAGACTCACTAGCACCTAGAGCAGCAGCTGCACCGCCCGGGTCGGGCGGAGCACTCAGGGAACAGTCACCGACATCACTAGTAGTCAATGCATACATGGCAGTGAGGATAGCATCGAAGTCAAGAGCATAGATATCTACCCTCCGCCGGCGCAGCTCCACCCAGTCAGGGAGCTCAGCCGCGTCGCCAAACTCCGTACGCCAGGCGTCGCTCAGACTGGCGAAGCAGCGGGACTCTGTGTGACCAAACGTCCCGCAAGGCTGGCCAGTCCGAGCACCAGTGCGAATGACATACGGGCAGCGAGCAGAACCCCGTGACCCCCCCCGCTGAAAGTACCACTCATGAAGCTGCGGGGGCGAGGGGACCGCACGTACACGACGCTGCAGCTGCACCTGGCCACTACAAGAAGCCCCGAAACTACTCACGCCAGAACGACTCCCACGACGGCCACCCCGACAACCCCAACTAGCGTACCACTCATGAAGCTGTGGGGGCGGGAGAGGCTCACGCGGACGGCCCTGGAGCTGCATCTGGCCACGCCAGGAGCAGCAGTAGCAGTAGGAAGGGTAGGAGCAGCACGGGCCCCCCACGCCGCTCTTTCGCAGCCCTGCAGCAGCCGCCGCTGGACCAGCCGCCCCTGCAGCAGCCGCCCCAGCGTCCCCTGCAGCAGCCACACCTGCAGCAGCTGTCCCAGGCCACTGCAGCAGCCGCCCCTGCAGCAGCCGCCCCTGCCCCTGGAGCAGCCGCCCCTGCAGCAGCCGCCCTTGGCCCCTGGAGCAGCCGCCTCTGCAGCAGCCGCCCCTGGTCCCTGGAGCAGCCGCCCCTACACCTGCTGCCCCTTGCCACTGGAGCAGCTGCCCCTGCAGCAGCCGCCCCTGCCCCTGGCCCTTCGGGCAGCCGCCCCTGCAGCAGCCGCCCCTGGCCCCTGCAGCAGCCGCCCCTGGCCCCTGCAGCAGCCGCCCCTGGCCCCTGCAGCAGCCGCCCCTGGAGCAACCGCCCCTGCAGCAGCCGCCCCTGGCCCCTGGAGCAGCCGCCCCTGGAGCAGCCGCCACCTGCAGCTGCCGCGGAGCCCTCGCCCTACAGTGGTGCCGGCCTCGCCGTTGTACGCCGGCCCTTCTTGCCACTGGTGAGCACTGTCCTGCTGCTCCTGCTGCTGCTGCTCTTTCTCCTGCTACTGCTGCTCGTGCTGCTCCTACGGCTACTGCGCTTTCTCCTGCTCCTGCTGCTACTGCTGCTACTGCTGCTCCTGCTGCTACTGCTGCTACTGCTGCTCCTGCTGCGGGGCCGCGACAGACCAGGTAAGGGGCCGCGACGGGCGGGTAAGGGGCCGCGACGGGCGGGTAAGGGGCCGCGGGCGGCGGCTAAGGGGCCGCGACGGGCGGCTAAGGGGCCGCGACGGGCGGCTAAGGGGCCGCGACTAGCGGGTAAGGGGCCGCGACGGGCGGGTAAGGAGCCGCGGGCGGCTAAGGGGCCGCGACGGGCGGCTAAGGGGCCGCGACGGGCGGCTAAGGGGCCGCGACGGGCGTGTAAGGGGCCGCAACGGGCGGGTAAGGGGCCGCGACGGGCTAGGGAAGGGCCGCGACGGGCGGCTAAGGGGAGGAAGTTGGCCGGGCCGAGGAAAAACGAGCCGCACGGGCGGCTGACGTGGCGCGCGGGGCCGAAAACGGGCCTAAATGAAGAGCGCGCGGGCTGCTCAAGCGGCGCGCGCGGGAGAAAAAAAAGGGCCGCGCACGTGCAGCCGAGGCGCGCGCGGGCAGGAGGCAAGGCAGGTGAGGTAACGTGGTAACGGTGGGCCCTTATCTTAGGTCCTAGAGACCTCTAGGCTCTAGATACCATCTTAGAATCTTAGGCATGAAGTTGTGTGGAATTAGGGTTTGGAGGGGGATACAAAACAAGTGTCGAGAAAATATGTGTACCCCCTAAGGCTAGACCCAGTACTATAGCCTACATAAATGTTACACATATAATTTGACAAGCCCATCTCCCCAAGCCCGTCAACTCAACCTCATTCGCTCTCAGACTCGTGTGCTCGAGCCCATCTCCCCAAGCCCGTCAGCTCAACCTCATTCGCTCTCAGACTCGTGTGCTAGAGCCCACTTCCCCCTAAGCCCGTCAGCTCAACCTCATTCGCTCTCAGACTCGTGTGCTTGAGCCCATCTCCCCGAACCCGTCATCTCAACCTCATTCGCTCTCAGACTCGTGTGCTCGAGCCCATCTCCCCAAGCCCGTCAGCTCAACCTCATTCGCGCTCAGACTCGTGTGCTCGAGCCCATCTCCCCAAGCCCGTCAGCTCAACCTCATTCACTCTCAGACTCGTGTGCTTGAGCCCATCTCCCCAAGCCCGTCAGCTCAACCTCATTTGCTCTCAGACTCGTGTGCTCGAGCCCGCAATTATTCAAGCCCGTCAGCTCAACCTCATTCGTCCTCAGACTCATGTGCTCGAGCCCATCTCCTCATGCCCGTCAGCTCAACCTCTTTAGCTCTCAGACTCGTGTGCTAGAGCCCACTTCCCCCTAAGCCCGTCGGCTCAACCTCATTCGCTCTCAGACTCGTGTGCTAGAGCCCATTTCCCCCTAAGCCGCCAGCTCAACCTCATTCACTCCCACGCTCGTGTGCTTGAGCCCATCTCCCCAAGCCCGTCAGCTCAATCTCATTCGCTCTCAGACTCGTGTGCTCGAGCCCATCTCCCCAAGCCCGTCAGCTCAACCCCATTCGCTCTCAGACTCGTATGCTCGAGCCCATCTCCCCAAGCCCGTCAGCTCAACCCCATTCGCTCTCAGACTTGTGTGCTCAAGCCCATCTCCCCAAGCCCATCAACTCAACCTTATTCGCTCTCCGACTCGTGTGCTCGAGCCCATCTCCCCAAGCCCGTCAGCTCAACAAAATTTGCTCTCAGACTCGTGTGCTCGAGCCCATCTCCTCAAGCCCGTCAGCTCAACCTCATTCGCTCTCAGACTCGTGTGCTAGAGCCCGCAATTATTCAAGCCCGTCAGCTCAACCTCATTCGCTCTCAGACTCGTGTGCTTGAGCCCATCTCCTCAAGCCCGTTAGCTCAACCTCATTCGCTCTCAGACTCGTGTGCTCGAGCCCATCTCCCCAAGCCCGTCAGCTCAACCTCATTCGTTCTCAGACTCGTGTGCTCGAGCCCATCTCCTCAAGCCCGTCAGCTCAACCTCAATCGCTCTCAGACTCGTGTGCTCGAGCCCATCTCCCCAAGCCCGTCAGCTCAACCTCATTCGCTCTCACTCTCGTGTGCTCGAGCCCATCTCCCCAAGCCCGTCAGCTCAACCTCATTCGCTCTCAGACTCGTGTGCTCAACCATTTTGGGGACAGGTTTGGGACAGTGACATTTTGGTGATGAAACTTACGGTATCATCAAAATGCATGAATATTGCACTTTCATGTTAGCTTGTGTTACTCAAGATAACTTCCCATTAATCATAATATAACAATGGTTTACACACAACAGCGATGTGAACAAAGCTTGATGGATATACGCATATGCGAGTCGAGCCCTCACGAGTCACCATACAAACTACTTTCACAAGCAACGCAGGCCGTCTCCTCTCAACCCGAAACCCTAGATCTAAAACGATGTGATGAACACCTTTCATGTGATGCCTCCTCTTCATGTGATGAGCTGGAGCCTTTCAAGGTTTCAGCTGATTGTAGAACTTGTTAAACCAAAAACGGAGAGTACTTTCTGAGAAGGGCATAAACGTTGGGGGGCAGTCAGGATGTGACGGAAAAGGCGGGTTAGTAACGAGATTGTGATGCCATTGGCAGTGAGAAGATGTGATAGCATGAGGGCCGAAAACAGGGAAAATGACAGGTAGTGAATTGTGACAGTTTGTGACACAAAAGAATCAACAAGTTTGCATTTTGAGATGATGTGACAACATGAAATGGCAACATGATGCAGGGCAAGTAGGATGTAGTCGTCATTATGCCATCATTAAGCCATCATTAGTGTCCCGTGGGTGGCAGCGTACTCACTTTCAGGGGCTCGTTTGCAATCATTGTCATAGAAATTGTACGTCGTCGAGTCGCATAAGGAGAAGTTGGTCTTGCAATACTGGGATAGAAACGTATCTTGGCCCTTCCTCACATCAGCACACGAATATTTACCTGCGGGCCACTCAAATGGACATCAAATTCGGGGATTCGGGATAGTTT